AAAAAAAAAAAACTTATAACAAACCAATAAAAGAATATAATTTTATATTGAAATATTATGACAAGTTATAATATAAATATACAATTTTATCAAAAAATAAAAATTATGATAACTCGGTAATACCTATAAGCTACCTAGAAGCCTCGAATTGAGACCTTAATTACCAACGGTTAACTTAACTATTTAATATTTTTCAATTGTGAATCATATAATATAAAAGTTAATTAGCCCCCTAATTATTAGTATAGTAGGTGAGATTGTCAATTAAATAAAATAGACTAGATCAATAATGCATGAAAATGAAAGCTAAAAGAAGACAGCTAGCCTGTTATAGATTTCAGACAATCAAATAACAATTGATAAAAGTGTTCAATTCATATGAGCTAAGAATGCTCTGTATCAAGATCATTTGATGTGATCGAGACTGTCTTTTAGTTGAAATTTACTTTTTACTGTACATTATTTTATTGGAATAATAAAAACATAAAAGCTTATATGTCTTTTCCCAACATTGTAATTAACACACTCACGCACATAAAACTTTGGATTAAAAAATTAAAATACTATATATATAAACGAGAATGGCTAAAGTCTCGTTATTGTAGATTATCCAAACAACATAACATACTTTTTTTATCTAATAATGTAAAACACTAACGGTACCATCTCGAGACCTTAGTATTTTTCTATATATATATTGGATAATGACAAAGTTCGATATAGGGAATCTAATCTGGGTAACGTGAACACCTCAACTGATCGATCTCTAGATCTACAAATGTTTTAAACTACAAATTGAAAGTGGTCCTAATTTGGAATATATGTCGGAAAACGACATACAAGTAACTAACTAATTAAATAAATAAGTGTCTTCATACTAATTGTATTCTAAGTCCTAAACCCGTATTAGTACTTGATATATAAATAGACATGGCCACGGGTCTGGCCCGACCCGTGGCCCGGCCCGTGAACTGTCACCAGCCCGGACCGAACCGGCACCGGCCCAGAATTGCACGGGCCTATGAACCGGACCGTGCCCATGCGGTTCGGTCTCGGCTCTCTTTTTTGTTTTTTGACCTGTCGGGCCGGGTCGGTTCCGGTTTTTCCGACGGGTCATAGTTGTATTTTTTATTTTTTTATTTTTTTTAACCTGGCGGTTCAAACCACCGGGCTGGGCAATGAACCGACCCTTAGGAATTGTCGAGCCGGTTACGGGCCCAACAATTGAGGCCCGCCGACCTGGCGGGCTGGGCCGAGCTCAGACCCGGCACCTGGCCATGTCTATATATAAACATAGAAATGACCGTTTGAGATATTAGCTCATATGTTAATTATTTAAAAAAATTGATGACAGGTGGAATACCCCATCGACGTGTCCTCGACCACCGATGAACACTTCAAAAAGTGGCGGTACGACAACTACAACTTCACAATGGCCTACTTTTGGTCTCCCTTCCTCGTCCGGTCCAACGAGCGCGACCCGGACGGCCCAACCGGAACTGGCCTTTTCAACCTCTACCTGGACGAACCGGACGAGTCCTGGGCCGCCCAAATCCACCCCTTCGACTACGTCATCCTCAACGCCGGCCACTGGATGGCCCGAACCGCAGTCTACCACGAACGTCGCCGTGTCGTCGGCTGCCGCTACTGCCAGATCTCCGGATTCACCGACCTCCCCGTAACCTACGGCTACCGCCGGGTTCTCCGGACGACATTCAGATCCCTAATCGAGCAGGAGAGCTACAGGGGGGTCACGTTTCTACGCACCTTCGCACCGTCGCACTTCGAGAATGGGCCATGGAATGCCGGCGGAGACTGCGTACGGCGGCAGCCGTGGCGGAGCAGCGAGGCGGCGCTGCAGGGCCTGGACATGGAGATGTACATGACGCAGGTGGAGGAGTTTAGGGCCGCCCAAAAGTTGGGGAAAGGTAGGAGGTTTAGGTTGTTGGACACGACCCAAGCGATGCTGCTTAGGCCCGATGGCCACCCCAGTAGATATGGGCACTGGCCCAATCAAAATGTCACCTTGTATAATGACTGTGTCCATTGGTGCCTGCCTGGGCCGATTGATTCTTGGGCTGACTTCTTGCTGCACTTCATCAAGATGGAGGCACGGACGTGGTACAATGAGAGGCATCATCAGCGAGACAAGAAGATGAAAATGCACTAAATCTTTTTTTTTTCTATCTTGTTATTGTTGTTTGGAGGTGTTAATGATTATTGATTGTTGTTCATATATTATACCAGGTTATGTCAATTTCTCGTAGATGAACATAGTTCTATTGAGCATGCATACTAATTTTTGCTCGAAAGTTTGAAGTTCATTTATCCAAGTCATTTAAATTTTAAATTATTGTTAGATATATCTATCACTATCTAAGAGATACAAATTGAGTTATTAAGATATTATTACTATAATAATGAAGTATTCGTCTTCTCTATACACGTCAGACTAAGTTTTAAAGATATATTCACTCTTATTGCTAAGAAGTAGCCAAATGTAAATTTGTAGTTTTTTATCTTCCGCTACATTGTGCCCTATGAAAAGAATCAAGTGAGTTTAACTGATGATGACAATATGAAGAATATGTTTCGGTAGCCCTTTTATTGGAAAGAAACCATTATAGATATGTTGGCAGCTGAACAATATTAAATACAAGATAATGGACTTCAATCCATCTCAATAAGTAGTAATGATTATTCTTGTATCATTGATTAGTTCATTACTGAAAGATGGTATAGTTGTATGACGATCATATTTTATTAGTTTCTAAGAAATTAGTAATTACAAAATAATTCAATTGATTCTTGACGCTATTGCATCAATGGAGAGAGAGTGATTTTTTTATGGTGCATTTTAATTTAGAAGAATGTTAAAAACTATATGATTCTTAACCTAACTATGAACATAAAAAATAATTGATTTACGTAATGATGATGTCCTTCATGCCAAAGTTGTACAGGGCGTAAGAGAGAAAAAAATTATCCTCATCATAAGTTGATGTTGCGGTTAGAAGGTGTAAGAATTGTGGTAAACATTTATGTGCAATGAACATATTTAGATCAGTGCAATGTATTTTGTTTAGTATGCAAAAGAGTCATCTGTTTTGTCGTGTGTATTTTGTAAGTATATGTTTAAGATGTCATAATAGGTTTTTGGATGAAACATTATCAATATATTCTGAGTATGTACTATATGAATTATATGTAAGTACTATTACAGTACAAAAGAAGCATAAAGTTGAATCTTGTATCAATTTATTATGAAGTAGTTTGATTTCTATATGCTTTAACAACATGTACAAGTAATTTTTATTTGTTCAACAAAGTTAGTACTAAACAATGACAGAGATGGTCGAGGTACGTAGGCTGGTCCAAAGGGCCTCGAAGAGAATCTTAGGCCAGTCACCCAGCCGAACTTCACCCCTAAGCCGAGGTCGTAGAAAATGCACCCAAATATGTAACTATCCAACTTATATCGCCCGAACCGTCTTTCGAGATGGGTATCTACTGAATCTGATAAAACTTGGTCACTAAAGCCCGCTCCAGTACCTAACACCCTCTCTAATCTATCTCTAACCCAAGCCCCCTCAGACCGCAAGTCCTTCACCCGCAGAGAAGGAGAGTGAGTGACATGCCTAGTGCTTGAAAAAGGTCCTTTATCAAACCATCACTCGTCCTAAGAGCTAATATCCCCTTTGCCCAGCATCTAGAATATATGCTCCTGGGCACGCCTACCTACCCTAGTGAGCCGCCTCTACTGTCTACTATCATGAACAATGGTCGTCACCTTATAGGCATGACAGACACCTCTAAGGCAGTACTTTCTGCGAATGTAATGAACCCAAAATGACTCTCTCCCAGAAGCATCACCACATTTTATAAGAGAAGGCGATGACATTTTATAAGCGGCAGATCCCAAGGCCACCCTCGGAAAAAGTTGGCAAATGGAATCTCACTTCACCCATTCGACCTTTCTCACCCTCCAGTAGCCTTCCACATGCCCCAAAAGTAACGATCCATGATCTGCTCTAACTCGTGGATTGTGGATTGAGGGGGATCGAGGGCCATAAGAAGATGAAGCGGAAGGTGCTAAAGATGCTCCTGATCAGGGCAAGTCGACCCCCAAAAGAAAGATGTCTGTGCAACCAGCTAGAGATCCGCTCAATTATCCTCTGTCTGACATCCGCTAAAAGCACACTCATGAGATGACCCTTGTACAAAGGGGCGCCGAGGTAGGTGATGGGGAGGTCACCACGAGCGAAGCCAGTGTGCTCGTGGACCCACTGCGCCCACCGGTCCACAATGGGAGGGGAGAGGATGAAGGTGCTCTTTTGCATGCTGACGAGGTAACCAGTGACCGAGCCATAGTTCTCTAAAAGGTGTATACGAGAGGTGCGAGATGGGAGGACCATAGTCATTTCTGTTGTAGGTCATCCTCAGGTTATCACAGATGAAGGTGTCAAGGAAATGAGAAAGGTAGTCCGCCACCAGGGCAAAAAGTGAGTGGGAGAGAGGATCCCCCTGCCGGAGGCCCCGAGATAAAGGGAAAAAGTCGGTGGGTCTCCCATTAACAAGAACCCAATGTGCAGTGCTCAACACACGCCTCCACAAAGCTGACCCACAACTCCGAGAAACCCATCCTGACCATCACCGCCTTGAAAAAGGGTCACTCGACCTTATCACATGCCTTAACCATGTTTAGCTTCAGCGCAAGGTTTAGACTCGCAACGGAATTCACATGAGAGATGTCGTGGATCATCTCCTGAGAAAAAATAATGTTATTACTAATGAATCGATCCTTGATGAAACCACTCTGGTTCGGAGAGTGAGAGAAGGAAGGAGAGGGGCAAGACACCCGCTAAGAATTTTGGAGATGAGCTTGTTGGTCATATTACATAGGTTGATAAGACTATAATCTGACCAAGAGCTCGGGCAAGGCTTTTTTGGGATCAAGATGAACATTTGTTAACAAGAGAAGAAATCCACCACAGCTTCCTCAACATCAGTCTCAACAAGATCCCAACAAGCCTGATAGAAGGCTGATGATAATCCATCCAAGATAGAGACACCGTTGGGATTAATCCCAAAAACAGCTTCCCTAATCTTCTCCCTGTATAGGAGCTCACAATGGCCAACAAGGACGACCTGCTGAGGGATGGTGGGGAAGAAGAAACGGTTGGGGGTCGTACGTAAGTCCCTGTTTTAGGTGAAAAGACTAAAAGTGCGCCACGATCGACTCTCGTAATTGGATCCTATGTCAGGGATGACATGTTGTCCTCGATAATATGGATATATGACTTGACACGCTTCTGCCTCATAAACCCTTGAAAGTACTTGGTATTACACTCCCCCTCAGCAACCCAGCAAACAACAATCTTCTGCTTCTAAGAATCCTCTTCCATAAGAAGTCAGAGCTGGTACTTAGCGTGACACAGACGCATCGCGGTCCTTTTCCATAAAAAGTCAGAGCTAGTCCAGATTATAGGCTCGCTTAACATCAGCATATGCACTCTGAGCTGCAGAAAGGTGCTGGGAGAGGTCTCCAAAAACATCTCAATTCCATTGCTTCAACCTGCGTCGCAACCTCTAGAGCTTGGCCTCCAGGTTGTGCATCTCGAATAGCCCAGTTTCATGCAATCAGGAATCCCTAATAGTGTCATGAAAAGCATGGTGGCGAATCCACATGTTTTTGACCGAAAAGAAGAGCGACGAGAGATGCTCGAGAATCTACAAAGGATGAGGAGGGGAGCGTGATAATACTCTATTCGAGCAAAGTGTGTGAGGTCGTAACAACAAACACCCTCGCCCATGCATCAGAGACCAAGGCACGGTCGAGCTTCTCCTTGACTCCACCCTGCTCCCAAGTAAAGGGGGAACCTTCGTAACTAGTGTCAATTAAATCACAGTCCATCACCGCCTGAGAGAAATCCTGATCTCCGCTGAACGGTCTGACCGGCCACCAATGCACTCATCGGTATATAAAAAGATGTTGAAATCACTGTTACCATCCACGGTATCCCTCTGTACTTTCAGCAATCTCACGTATGGGCTTAGGAAAATGGCCAACAGAAAGTTCGACGTGCAACACCTGCATGATATCACGGATGACCTGACAAGTGTAGTCATGTGAGTGAAAAAAACAAATTATATTAGATATGTATCCTACGCCAAGTGGAAACTAAGGCGACGTGAGTAAAATTCAAAAGAAGGTGTGCGGGTCATGCGCTCGATAAAAGTGGCAAATTCGAGCCTATGGTCACAGACAAGAGAGGTAATACGAGCTAGGGTGGCCCTATTCGCCAGGCCACGGGGGTTCCAAGTTAGGGATGTGACTGACATATCAAATGTCAGAGGTGCCACCCGACTGGGTCCTTTTGTGGTAGGCTGAATCGAACCATTTTAGTGGGGTAACGTCCAGCAGACCGAGCGATGTGCAGTCCTAAATCTGGTACGAGGTCGATTACCATCGGAACTCTCAGAGTGCGGACCCTCAAGCTGGTCCACCTGCTCTAAAATAGAGTGCACATATTGTCACCTCTGGTCTTTCGATGGGCAGAGCCCGATCAGGTGTGAAGCCCAACTCCTGTAGGAAGGGTGGAGGGGGAGAGCCAAGAGGCGGGCTAATCGTCCTCGACCTTAGGCTGACAAGAGGCACTAGTTGTGCACACAACCAAGTGCATACTCTCGGTGGAAATAGCAGGGGGTGACTCAGCCTCTTTGCGGGGGAATGGATGTGGAATTGGTCCTAGAGACCTAAGATCCCTCATCGGAGATAACGTGCTTGTTAGATGGAGCTACGTCACGTGACCTGTCGTCGTGGAGTGGTGAAGGCTCGTCACCCACTGAATGTCAGGCAAGTATGTCTCATCATCCACGAGGTCGTTGTCGTCAAGGGAGAGTAGACGTGTCTCTTAAAGGGCAAGAGGAGGATGAGGACTCATCCTCCATCTCAAAAGCAAGGATAGAGGAATAAGAGTAGTTAGCCATTGAGGTTGTTTGAAGATAATGGGGAGGAAAGAAACCCTTGGACTTGGCCTTTGGTTCGTCCATAGCCTGCCCCTTGGGTCGGTTAGGCTGTGCAGCCTTCCAAGCCTGAGTGGCAGTCTCAAAAACTACCTTGCCCTTGTCTTTGTGTCACTTCAGGGACTCAGGCGCATGGGCAAGTAC